TCAATTCTAAGTTAGGCGATTTCTGACCTATCCTAAAAATTTAATTAATTGGATCCGGATCACCACGAAAATCTCATCAATTCTAAGTTAGGCGATTTCTGACCTATCCTGAAAATTTGATGACAATCCGTCCATAACTTTTTCAGTTAGGCTGTACACAAACAAACCCACAAACAAACACACGCCGGTGAAAACATAACCTCCTGCCAACCCCTTGGCGGGCGGAGGTAATAATAAATGGAACATCATAATATCAAAATGCACTTGATCATTCATTGCTGCACTAAACGCTGATGATCACATTTATAACTCTACGTATACGTTCGCAGAAATGGAATACAGTGAGTATGTGCAGGCGAAAAGCAGCCCCGACTTTCACCTTTGCAAATAGGGACTCTAATTGCTTATCCACGTGCATGGATGATTGATTAAGCTGCAGTATAGGCGCTTCTAGACACTAGATATTTTCTACAATATAAGATCGATCGCCAGATTATACCTTAACGTAATGCGTGGCCTTCGACATTATCTCGACTTCTATTTCACTATAGCATCCCATATGGCGTGGCATTCTCTGCTATGCCCCTGCATATCCCCCAGCGCATTTTACATATTTCTGTGGCAACCTGCGAAAATTACTCGAAGCTTGTAAAGTATTCATGTACTGGCTAGAGCAATTACGATGTGCTGTGACGTCACGGGAGGCTGATTTCGCAGACACTTGGAACGATTCCATAATAATAATAACAAATGTGAATAATAATAGATTATTCTATATATAGATTATTATCTATTATTATTCCCTCCTGATAATATGATGGTAAATAAACACGTATTTACTAATGTACTAACTACATATGTATTTACTACCGAAGTCTTAATGTTTCTCTACCCTCTTTCGCCTAATATTAGTAATAACTTTCGGTAAATGCCGTTGAAACGCTCCTCTGCAACACACACGTACACCGCACGCACGCCGCTGTGCACAAACGACAAAATTATACAGATTTTATAGAGAAAATCACAACGAAAGAAACAAACGAAAAACACAAAAACTCCATAACTTTGTTTGTGCGCAGCGGCGTGCGTGCGGCAGATTGTGTTGCAGAAGAGCTTCTGAATGGCATTTACAGGAAATTAACAGTAATAATAGGCCAAAGATCGAGTAGAGAAATATTGAGACTTTGGTAGTAAACACATTTCGTGTGTATTTACCATAATTTCAGGAGTGTATAATATCATAGATCGATAGATAGTGCATAATTTATATTATGCACTCCTGATTTTATTAGTGAAACGTTCCAAGTGCCTGCAGCTGCATTTGCACACATATACGCGCAAGCATCGGCCCGCCATGTGATTGGGGAGAAACGTCGAGAGCTAATAATACTAACACTATTATTATTAGCAAGTATTATTAGCTATCAGCTTCATCAGTTAGTGTTATTAGCTCTCGATCGCGTACGTAGCAGAAAGCAATAACCTATCCATCAGTCATCGGCGGCCCGTCCCCCCAACATTTCCCACGAGGGTGAGATGTACAGCACGACGTCCGTGCCGCAACATTTTTTTCTCCCACTTGAGTTCCGGACCACAGCCAATCAGCGCACTCCATTCACTCGACTTCCTCGAAGCAACAATGTAAAATGAGTACACCCTATGCCTAACCCTAACCCCAACCCTAACACGTACACGAACCCTAACACTAATTATAATCCAACCATATATATAAGAACCATTTATTACAAAACACTATCTATGGTGGGTCCGGAACTCAAATGGGAAAAAAAATTTTGCGTCCGGGCCGTAGGCTGAGCAAATTCCTAGGGGGGCAGTGGCGGATCCAGGATTTCAAGGAGGGGTTGAGAAACAGGTGGAAATCCTCCCACAGAAAATTTTGAAAATGTAGATCGCAGGAGATGGTATTTGAGGCACCTTTGAGTACATGTACAGCCTTTTTTTGACTACGACAATTCTCCTTTTAGTAGAACAAATTTTTATATAAATTTGGCTCCAAAATCTAGGGGGCAACTGCCCCTTGACCCCCCCCCCAGGCTACGGCCCTGGACGTACGACCCTCCGGAGCTTACGTAACCTTTCCTGCTCACTCTGCTGTGCTTGTTATCGGACCTTCTTAGCGTGGGTATAACACACCGATAGCTTAATAAACTCTTGAACGCACGTAACAGCAGTGGCGATATCGTTAAAGGGCCGCTGTACAATCAACGTGTTCTCATGGATGACATATGAATAAATAAAAACCCCTGTGATATGTTTTGGGGCCAGTCCTTATTCATTCACATACCAAAAATGAGTAAAATATGTTGAACCTGAACTGACTTATGGCCATTTCCATTTTTGCCAAAAAGAGGGTGTGGCTCGAAAGTAGGTCGACTGGCGTGCTCCAAAATAGGACGTTTAAATCCCTCCCATATGAGTAACAACTATATGCAATTTGAAACATGTGGGTCAAACGGTTCTTGAGTTATCGGTGACCATAGGCAGACACTGAAATGCATAGTGAAACTGCCAAAATCTACCCAATTTGCATAATTTTTAAAAAATATGAAAACCCCTGTGATATGTTTTGGGGCCAGTCCTTATTCATTCACATACCAAAAATGAGCAAAATCCGTTGAACCTGAACTAACTTATGACCATTTCCATTTTTGCCAAAAAGTGGGCATTGCTCGAAAGTAGGTCGACTGGCGTGCTCCAAAATAGGACGTTCAACCCTCTCCCATAGGAGTAACAACTGCATGCAATTTGAAACATGTGGGTCAAACGGTTCTCAAGTTATCGTTGACCGTAGCCAAATGTTGACGGACAGATGGACAGACGGACGGACGGACGTACAACACCCTATGGCAATAGCTCATCTTGACGATGTCAATGTGAGCTAAAAACCCACAAAATCGAAACGAACGGCGACAAAAAAAAAGCGAACCGACGACGACCGGTTACCTGTCGAGCACGGCGAAAAGTCCGTTCTTGCCTCCGAGCGCGCACAGCACCTTCGGTGGTCGGCGCGGCCGCGCGATCGTTCCGAGTAACGCGCCGCGGCGATTCGCGCGGTGGGCAACGGCGCCGCGCTTCAGCCGGTGCTCGGGCAGCAGGTGGTACTTGAGGGCTTCGTTGAGGAGCTCCTTGCACGCACGGCTGTCTCGCACGAGTTTATTCGCCTCGTAGCACCGCGTGAGATAGCGGACGGGAAGCAGCGCGAGGCGCACGCACTTGATGAGGCGATCGAGCGCGCCGCGCCGCGCCGCCGGGTCGAACTCGATCCAGTTCTCGATGCCGGAGAAGACCGTCTCCTCGCTGACGACGTTCAGGTCGTCGCTGGAGAGGATTCCGGCCACCTGGGGAGCGCGTGGAGAGACGAGCGTTTACTCATGCAGTGCTGCAGTGTTACGACTGTCACCGCACGTGGGTGCGTGCGTGCGCGTGTGTGCATGTGTGTGTACGTGTGAGAGTGTGTGTGACCGCGTAGCCGTGATATATTTATGTGTCATATATATATGTCAGATGATTTATCCTAGGATTATAGTCCTATCCCTAAAGCCTAGCGCAGACCTGCAACTTTTTCACGCAACTCGACAGCGATTATAGAATCGCTGTAAAAATTGCTGCGAAATCGCTACATCTGAGGGAACATGCAACTGCAACCCGTAGCGATTCTGGTCGCTTGCGACGTGCTGCAAGAAATCAAACTGTTTTGATTTTGAGCGACTCGTCGCTCCCTATCGCTCCCAGATTGCTCTAGAATTGCTTCGAAATCGCATGTGTGCGCGCACAAGCGGTGACACATCGACCGATCGCTTGTGGTTGCAGGTTGCAGCGACGAGCAACCAAAAATCGCAGGTCTGAGCTAGGCTTAACTCTTTATCCTAAGTTTTTAACCTGACTAGTGCCGTGATACTATTCGAAATTTTATCATATTTTTTAGTCGATTGTCCGACTGTTAGTCTTGTTTTAGTCGATCGTTTTCGACAATGGGTCTTAAGAGTGTCAGCATAAGCAGATTGCATGGCAGACAGATGCCTTGCTTACGCGTGTTACACAAACAGGCCAATTTACCATGATATGCCCACGGACTGCAGCAAGTTTCAACCATGCATATCAACAACAAGAGCCGCAGAGCGTCTGGGCTCATCTGAGGTCTGTTGCTACGGTTATAAACGTAACATTTAAGTCATGCGTAGTGACACCTTAACTTTGTTAGGCGCAGATATGCAGATACGCAGTTGCGTACACATGATTTCAGCAACCTTCTGCATTCTGCATACCTCCCAAATCCCATTGGTTGATACAAATCGCGTGCCTGAAAGTCCTGTTTTATGGTGCATTGTGACCCTAACCCTAACCCTTAAAATAAAATAAAAAAATTAATTGTTGTAAAAATTATTTGTTGTTATTAAATTGTTATAAATAAATCATGTAAATATTTGTGTTAATTGGAAAAAAATAGTTAAATGGATAAAGATAGAAAAATACAGAAAACAGGTAAATAATAAAAAATCAGCTGGGATTCGATCCAATGACCTTTGAGCCGTGACACTTGTGCTGTACGCGTTCGGCTATCCAGGCTTATTGGGTTTCTAGATTATGGATGTGCCATGAATATGACAACACTTTGACGTCATTGAGGCGGTTCAGGATTCCATGTTTAACCTTCCTCTCAGGGGCGGATCCAGGGCTGAAGCTAGACAGTATTTTTCCAGATTTTAAGGGCACATCCCCCAAAAAAGACACACCACCCCACAGTGGGCGCCGTTAGGCGCGGAAGCACATGGCGGGGAGTGTGGGGGCCTCCCCCAGGAAATT